AACCCGGGCCCCCGCCCTCCCCGCCCCGCGCCGGGCGTCTAGCTGGCTTGGGGCTGGCGCTGCTGCTGCTGCAGGGACTTGCCGAGCCCCGGCGGCGGCCCTTCCCGAGGCCAGAGCAGGTGGGTGGCGGCCCCGGCCCGCGCCAGGACTCCCTCGCTCGCCCGGGGGACGGAGGGAGGCGGCTGCCTGTTCCCTGCGCCGCAGCTCGGGGCTTCCTCGCTCATCCACCTGCCAGTCTGGTGCAGTGGCGAAGTGCGCAGAGGACTCTCATCCGGGAGAACCGGCTTTCATTCCCCCACGCCTCCTCCTCCTCCGCTTGCACCTGGGGCCGGATGGCCTTGGGCAAGCCGTAGTTCTGATAAGAGCCGTCCTTGAGAAAGAGCAGCCCTCTCTCAGCCCCACCCCCCACCTCACAGGGGGTGTCTGTTGTGGGGAGGGGGTGGGGGAGGAAAAGGAGTTTGCAAGCCGCTCTGAGACTCCTTTGGGTAGCGAAGGGCCACGGGGCATCAATCCAATCTCTTCTTCTTCTGACCTCCCCTCCGCGGATGGACCGGGCCCAGACCAACGCTCCCTCTAAGCTGCAGAGTCTTGTGAGCAAAAATTCTACTTTGCGCGTTCCTGGCCTTAAAGTTGTGAGCGAGCGATTTGGCTCCTGCATCAATTCGTTTGCTCTGGAGCCATCCTTCCGGAGCTAAGACAAAAAATCTGTGAGCTGGAGGCTAAAAAACTGCGAGCTAGCTCACACTAACTCAGCTTAGAGGGAACACTGGCCCCGACCCTGCCTCTCTTCCAAGTGCTGAGGCAACGGGGGCTCCCTGGGGCAGCACCCCCGAAACCTCTCCCCTTCCAGGCTGCCCCCCCCCCCAGCCATGCATTCCCCTGGCTAGAAGATGCCCCAGTGTGGCGGGGTGGGTGCGCCAAAGAGAAATATTCAGCCTGGAGGGACACCAGAGCAGCTGGGAGAAACCAAACATGACAATAATTTAAGCACGTTCCTGCTTATCTGCAGTCAAAGAACTCATAGTTGCTACCAAACATTCTTAGGGAGCATTCCCTTGACCTTGCCAGAATGGGAGCACCCCACCCCCACCCCAGGGCAGGTGCATCCATGGCAGAAGGTGGGAAGCCCGCTGTTTCTTGCCCAGGGGCAACTGAAACGCCACCAAAGGCAGGTGCCTGCTGGCCTAATGGGACCCAGCCAGCTGTCTGCTTGCACCACTCGTTCATACTGCACTCAGCATAGCAAACAGTGCCCCCCCCACATGCCACACTGGTGGCCAGTTGCTCTGTACTTGCTCCATCCTCCAGAGCATTTGCCACCGCTTGCTAGAGCCTGACCCCCAGTCTTTTGCGGATAGCAGTGTTAGCATGTCCAACAAGCACAGAACCAACCCAGGTCACAAGAGAGATGCTCTGGTGGTACAGAGACGGAGGTGAAGTGACTCTGCACAGTCAGCACTAAGCAGAAATGAAACCTTTTTGGCTCTGGGGCAAGTTTTGCCCCTGAAACTCATTACAAACCTGTGGTGCCACTGAGGCACCTGACAGCGGCCTTTCCTTGTACTTTTGGGAGCCAACCAAAACTAGCTGGGATATCTTCCGGCAGCCACCAGCCGACAGGCTTGTTCCACAGCATGGACTGCCGCATCCCGGACCCTGATACATGCACACGCGCACACAGAGTTCTTAATACAACTTGAGACAGAACTTCAGAAGCTGTGAAGTCCCAAACAGCCTCACCCTCTTCCACACAAATAAGACAGACACCAAGAAGTCACTGGTGAAACATACATTTATATTGGAATATGCACTAAAGAGGGCACACTACCAGCCATCCATGCCATTTTGCCAAAGCAGAATCATTGCTGTGGTAGGGCGGGAGCGGAGGGCTCGGTCAGCTACTACTGAAGGGGGAGGGGGAAGCACGCTCCCTCCCAGCGGCAAAGCAAGGGTTCCATTGCATTCCCACATCCTGAGCAAGCAAACGAGTTGCTGGCCCGCACGATTTCTCTCTGTCGGCCCCCAGTTACAGCCACGTACGCATTACAAGATAAAGACAACTATCTTTAACCTTTGTTTCACACTTCTTTGCTGCAATAAATATAAAATTGGCAATGCTCCTACACCACAGGACAAACAAGATTCCGGGCTGCGGCACACGACAGAAACAGCAACAAGACTAAGGAAAGGGAAGGATCTGAGCGAAAGCTCAGGCGGCCGGGGAGGGCAGCAGCTTCCGAAGTGGCGGATAGCGCGGAAGCAGACAGAACAGCTTCTCAGCATATCCCAGGATCAGGACCCCTGGCAGCTACCCAGATGGCTGGCACGGGTGGAGGCCAACAGAAGTCCAAGAGATGCACTTGTGTGAATGGCCAGAGGGGGTGCTGCTGCCGCATCTCCCAGTCATGCTGAGGGCAAGAGGGCCTCCTTGGTGAGAGAGGACGCTGCCCTACTTCCCTGGAGGAGCCGGGAGAGCATGCTGGGGAAATGGCAAAGTGCTGCGAAGCCGGGCTCAGCTCAGAGCCAGGCACTACGCCAAGACCCTGGAACTGTGGGGCTGACTGAGCTCTCCCTTTTCAGGCTTCTCAGCCAGAGGCAGACAGCTCTGGGTACCTTACAGCTTTTCATCAATGGAACATTGGCCCACAAACAGCTGGTCAGGTCACGTGGAAGGAATGCCACAAAGTTCTAGGGAACATTTGGTCAGTAACGTGTCCCCCTTTCCACCAACGTTTCTCACTGGATAAGCAGCAGGAAGCCAAGGCCTCGGCAGCGGTTGGCCAGCCCCATTTTGAACATCCACTCCTCTGCTTCCTCCCAAAATCCCGCCCTCTAGGGCTTTGGCAATCTCTGCCCCCTCCATACCAAGATTCTCTAAAAGTCCTATTTCAAGAATGGCTGGGGCACTTTTGGGATTCTCCTGCTTATGCTGGAGAAAGTCCACAATGCAAGAGGAGATCAGGCAGACAAACGATAGGGAGGCACCTACTTGGAAGCCACCAAGCAAGGACACAGGTCAGAGGACACGCTTATGTGTGGGACCCTCTCTACGTGAAGGAAGCCTTTTTATAAAGAGAACGGCCACAGAAGACACAAGCACAAAACCTCCTTTCGGGGAGGAGGCACACATTTGTGCTGTGACTCGCTGGCAAAGACTCAGCTGCTTGGCTGGGTAAAAGTCAGCCATCGAGGAGTTATCTCAAAGACGCTCTCTCCTGTGGAGAAAAATCATTACTTAAGGCTTTATGCCCTTGCCAGCCTCCCTCTCCTAAATAGCCTCGCAGGGTCCCCAGAAGCCGGCTGCTCCCCCCGCAGGTCTCCTTGCTGGAGGAGAAGCATGGTCAGGTCGGGAGAAGGAACGGAGGCGGCATGACTTGGTCCTCTCCAGTCAGAGGCTCCACTGGCTTGAATAAAATGCTTGTACAAGACAGGCAGTCACAACAAAGAAATATACACCTTGGGACTCATCAACCTTCTGCCTCTTTCAGGCCGGGTGAGAAGGGAAAGGACTACAGATTCTTGTTATCTCGAGAAGAAAAGTAACAGTCATTTGCATTTTGCCATTCTTCTTTTCCTTTTTTTAAAAAGTGAAAACAACGAATACGGGGAGCTCTGCACAGCATCCTGCAGCACACAACATCACAGCGAGAGGAAATGTCAGTTTTACAGCTGGGGAGGTGGATGACAGTGGGGGGGAATGACTGTTGTCCAGCTGGGCTCCAAATCTACTGGGGGTTTTTCCCCCCGAAAGCTGGGCATGTGATACCAAAGCACAGACGGGGGACCAGCTTTCCCAGGGATGCTCAACAGGACAGCCTCATCTGTCTCCACCACACAAGAGGGAAATGGCATCCAACAAGCCAGAGAAAACCAAAGGGGTTAGGAGTACTTTTTTTAATGAGCTCACTCACTGAAGACTTCTCATCTGAAAGTGTCCAAGGTATGTTATCACTGGGGTTAGTTTGGTGGTTGCTCCTGCCAAAGCCAGAAAGCAACTGTGTGACTTGAAATGAAAAAAACAACCCCAGGAAGTCTGAGCCACTCCAGCTGTTAAACAAACTGCTGCTTTGGGTTCAGAGAGTGGACTGTGAGTGTAAATAGTGGGCAAAGACAGAGAGTCTTAAGGGTGATTGAGATATGCCTGGCAAAACACCAAGGGGGGGGGGAACTGGCAGTGAGGAGGAAGGACAAGGATGTTTGCACCATAAACAAGCAACAACTGGAAAGTAAAACTCTTCTGTGGTCAATTTCACCCTGTAGGTAAGTGACTTACTTGGCAGAGCCAGGTGCCATTAGGTCAGCTTCCCCCCCCTTCCAATGCTAAACACAACACCCAGTAACATTCAACCACGGAAAGTGCTTTGAGTGAGTGAGGAGGGCTCTGTAGTGCCGCCAGGGTGAAGGGCTGCGCCGACGGAGCTGGGGTGCCACTAGCCCTGCCCGGGACTGGCTGCTCAGGCCAGAGTCGCCTGTTTCTCCTCGGGGGTCTCCTCCAGCAGCTGCATGATCAGTTCGTGGAGGGGCTTACAGATCTTCGAGTAGCCGGCGCCCGTTAGATGCAGAAAATCAAACATGTCATGGCAGGAGATGGTGCCATCTGAATGCACAAAGCCCACATCCACATCCAGCAGCTGAACACTGGCGAGTTTGGGCAACGAGGCCTTCAGGAGCTGGTTCACCTGGCTGTTCTTCTGCCGCAGCGGGTTCGGCTTCTCGCCACGTGGTAACAAGCCCTGGAGAGAGGAGACGTGACAAGGAAGAAACAGAAGCACTTCAGGAGGCACCCTGGGTTCTCTTACTGTGCGGATCCTATCGCGGCATCACTCTGGGCTTAACACACCACCTACTACTTAGAAATCCGTCCCACCATCTCTCTGCACACTGGTGGGCAATTCAGATGTCCTGTGCACTGCATGCATCCCCGTCTGTGGGGAGAACATCCTCTTCAAGAAGCGCCTGAAACTTTTATTCTTCACGTGCTCTGAGAGAGGCCACAGATGGTTCCCTTTAGCACTGCTACTCCCTTCCACTCCCATTTTCTTTTCTTTTTAAAGAAAAGGTTATTTTGATTTTTGTAATATACTCCATCAGTCTTACTCAACATTCTCAGCACACCATATAGCACAATCTGAGCAAGAAGGGGATGCTTATTATTACTGATGCTTGCTTTCCTAAAAACAAATTTTCATGCCACAAAAAGGAAACCTACTTTCCCCCACTTTCTTTATGACTTGGCATGACCTGGAAACAATTTTCAGGGATAAAATGGGTTTCCCCCCAGCAAGGTGGGGCAGCCCTTCGTTCCTGGTCCAGGATCCTTTCCCTGAAGCACAAGAGTTCCTTTCCCAGAAGGAACTGTGGCTCAGGGCAGGTGCCCACCCCTCATTCCATTTGCTGCTTGACTTAATAAAAGGCTTTATGGGCCTTCTTCCTGGAGAATTCCTCAGACAGGAAGTAGCAACCTCTCTGTGCTGTACTCTTCCCCTCACAATGTTACACTTCCTCTTGATGGAAGGGTACTGGCAAAAAGCACACAATGTCAAGAGTGCTGCCAGCTCCCTGAGCACAGCTAAGCGTACCAGTACAATAATCTTGGCCTGGGGCTGCTGCACATTGATCAACCTCACAATGGCTTCTATTCCACCTGCTACTTCCTCTGCTGTGTTTTCGTGGTTATTTGTTCCAACCCAAAGAACAATGACCTGTGGAAGAGAAGAAAAATCAAGAGTGAAAGCAGGGAGTGATTCCTGCGTTATACTGCCTCAGGGGGGAGGGAAGGAAAAGCATGCACTGCTCAGGGCCCCAACAGTCCCACCTCCTCACATGTCATCCTTCATAGGCTATAATGGTAAATAATACTAACAGACACACGAAAGTAATAAGTGTTTATAAGCACAAGGCTGTGCTTGGGCTGGAGAATCAACCTGCACATTGGCTCTTTGGAGAAGAGCAGCGTTCCACATACAGACATACCCAGCGCCTGTATTTACCTTGGGCTTAATATTTTCCAGTTCACCATTCTTCAGCCTCCACAAAACATGCCCCGTTGTGTCCCCTCCAATCCCAAAATTCAACGCATGTAGGGGTGAAAAGAGCTTTCGCCATATCTGTAACCAGAAACCAATTTGCCGTGTTACCTTTAAACTGAACAAAGAAGAGCATTTCACTAAGAGCATTCTCAAGATGAAATATTCCGAGCCAATGATGTTTTGATGCACAAAAGGGGGGGTCCATCTGTTGAAATGGATCAGAGAATTGTCCCCTGGTGCACAAGCTCAGAGCAGTTTGGTGCAAAAAGATAATTCTGAAATTAAGGCAATATTGGGCCTACCAGTGTTACAAGACCTAATCAAACCAAACCTAGCACCCCCAGGGTCTGCTGAGGTATTCACTACCCCATATGAGGAACTCACTTTTGCTCAAGATCAAGTGGCATTGGATCAGACCACAGACCATGTAGTCCAGCATCCTTTACAAAAATCTCAAAAACCAGAGAGCAGTTAGCTAGCTAATGGATTATAATTTACTTTCTGCCCACTCCTATGAGAACAAGTCTCAGAATTATCTGCTGCTGGGAAAGCCACCTTTCATGTCTCTCTAGCACGGCGCTCTACCTCCTACCCCTCAATACCTCATACTGCTGTAGCAGCTGCACCATGGAGTCTCCGACAAACAGCACATCTGGTTCCTTGTCCTTGCAGTCCAAGACAAATCGGTTATGCTGGAGAACAGAAGCGCCAAAATTAAAGCACAAATATCACCAGCTCATTTGCACAAGAAAGGAACGACTTCACTAGTCTCCTGCCAGTCGGTCATCTGCACTTCCTCAGCTACAATGCCCACTCCACTGCCCCATTTGGAAGTGGGGGGGGGAGAATGTGTGGCTTGCACAAGAGTTCTAGGATGCTGAAGTGCATAAAATAGCTAATACTCATGTGCATTCTGCTATTCCCAACAGGGCTACTGCCTTCTTCCACAAGGTAACTCTCTGAGCATTCATCAGTTTGGTACATTAAGAACGACTGAAGCAAATGAGCCGTTCCAACCAATCCAAATGTCATGGGAACAGTACCTGTGACATCCATCTGTCATCACCCTGAACATCTTCAGCTGCATGTGCGATTGCGGCTGAGTTTGAGTCACCCTGGCTCATCCTCTCCCTGGGGAGACAGAAATTTTAGTATCATTTTTGTGCCAGAAAGCTCAGCAGTCGGAATCAGTGAGTCAAAGCACACACATCCGCACTCTTATTCTGCAGCCGAGAGGTGCGCCGCACAGGAGCAAATGCATGCACGGTCGCCCCCCTGCCTCCACCGGTCGCGTGCCCAGGCCGCGGAGGGCGGCAGAGGGCGGGGCGCGCGGATCTGGGGCGGGCGGGCGGGCGGGCGGGAGGGGGCGCCGGCTGGGCGAGGGGCGCCTGGCCTGGCCGGGCCTGCCCCTTCCGCGCTCGGTCCGCCGCCCGGTCCTCAGGAAGGCGGGCGCGCCCCTCCCCCGCCTCCCCGTGCAGCGCGCCTGCGCGGGGGCTCGCCGCCACTTCCGCGCGCCCCCGCCAGCCAATCGGCGCCGCCCCCCGCAGGAGCCCCCCCCGCCTGCCCCTCCAGAGGGTGCGCCGCAGTCGCTGCTACGGAACGCCGGAGTGGTCATGCCCGGGCGCACGGCGATGACACCGCGAGGCGGGGATGTGAGGCGCGGAGTGACGTGACGATCCGCCAACCGTCCTGCGTCTCCGGAGACGCGCGTCTGCCTGCCCTGAGCGTGCCGCCGGTCGCGCGCTGTCCAAAGGGCCGGTCCATAGCCGCAGCAGCAGCAAAGAACTGCCGCCCCCGGCCGCGCCCGCTGCTCCTCTTGCCGTCGCAGAAGCTGCAGCTACGGCTCCCCTGCAACCTCTAGTCCCTTTGACTGGAGAGACTCGATTCCGGGCTGCTTTTCTGTGCGCGGGGGGGGGGGGCGGGGCTCCGCCCCCGGGGGGGCGGTCTCCGACTCTCTCTCTTTTGCATTGTACACTAGTATTTTATTTGCATTAAAAAAAAAAACAACAACCCTGTTTTTCTTTCGGCCTGGAAAAAAGAAAACGAGACTGAACCTTCCCTGCCTGTGCACGAGGTCGTTTTGGGAACCCCACGCGTAAAACTTACATTTTAAAAGTATTGATTTTTATTTATTTTTTTGTCCCTGGGGGGCAGCACTCATACGGGGCTGGGGCTGAGCCCCCTGCACGGCGGTGGGCTGCCAAAAGAGGCATTTTGGTGGGGATGCTGCCCTGGCTCGCCTCCTGCAGAAGAGGGGCTTTCTCTTGGCGGTCCTGAGGCGCTGGAGAGCTGCTGCCCGTTAACCTAGACAGGCCTGACCTGGGGAGATCGATGACCTGAGGCTGCCCTGTGTATTCCGATGAGGTTTATGCATGTGTGTCGTGGGCTCTGCACAGGGAGGGAGATGGAGCCAGAATGGAGGGAAACAGCTGGATGAAGATGGCCACATGGTGTGTAGCAGTGATGGAAAAAGGCAACTATAAGGGAACGAACTGAAAAGAAACCATCTGGTACTGACCTCATCAAGCAGGATGTTCCATGAGGGGGGGGGCATAATGGAAAATGGATGTATATGGGCAGCTGTTGGTTTTGCCTGTTTGCAGGGTGCCACCTGCAGAAGTCCCTGCTCGGATAAGCGAAGTTGCCATGGCAGAGCATAGCGGGAGTCCTGTATGTGTGAGGGTCCAAGGCCATGAAGGAGAGTTGAAGGCCAGTGCCTTGAACTGAACCCAGTAACTGTTGGGCAGCCAGTGGAAGGACTGCAGAATGGGGCTAACGTGCTGCCAATAATAACCGAGCTGCGGCACTGTGCATCAACTGGAGTCATTGAGAGGAGGCCTATGTAGAGTGTATTCCAGTAGTCTAGTCTCAATGTCCCTTAGTATCACCACACCAAACACACACCCTAATATGAGACATACCTGTTAATACTGAATATATGATGTTCCTCAAAACCCTTTTAATCACTGGATTACATCTGAGCTGAAGCTCAAATACTTTGGCCCCCAAATGAGAAGGGAGCACTTACTGGAGAAGAAGGCCCTGATGCTGGGAAAGATTGAAGGTCAAAGAAGAAGGAGACGGCAAAGGATGAGATGGTCGGACAGTGTTATCGATGCAACGAACATGGAATTAAGCAAACTCCGGAGCACGACTTAAGACAGGAGGGTCTGGCGTGAGGTGGTCCATGGGGTCGTGAAGAGTCGGACTCGACTATGCGACTGAACAACAACATCTGAGCATGGAGGGGTTGTCTCTCCCCACCACTGACGACTGGTGGCCAGCCCTTGGGGCATCGTGCACACAGGGCAGGGTTGCCTTCTGACTCTTTCCTCAGCATGAGAAGGGACAGCAGCTGAGGTGACAGAGTGAAATGACAAAGGTGCCCAGTGGAGAGCAAGCTGGCTGTGGAGGAAGGGGAGTAATATCACTGTCATCACCCTGCTGCGGGCAGCTTGCTGTTTTCCTGTGGGGCTGGCGACTTTACCATCTCTTCTCTGCATCCGGCTTCCAGTCCATCCAGCAGCACCCAGGTGGAGGGAGGAGAGTGCAGAGTCTGGGGAGAACTGGCAGAAGGCTTTTGGGTCAGGGAGACTGGCAGCTCCAGTCCCTGTGGCTGCTTCAAGAGAGGGTGTGTGTGTGTGTGGGGGGGAGGGGATACCACCTGCTAAGCACAAATCCTGCCAGGCCATGGCCTGAGGCACTTTCCGGGAACACGAATGGTGCTCAGAAGAGCCACAAATGTTTTTATTAGATTTTTTTGTAGTCGCCACTCACCCAAAGGGCCTCCTGGCAACTTACAACATTAAAACCAATAAGATAAAAAACACATAAAACAAATATAAAATGTTAACATTAATATATGTGGCTCACAGCATGCCACTGTAAAATGGCCCAAACACATGGTTACCCTCCAAACGGCAACCTAAACAATTCAGCTTTGCATGCCTTGTGGAAACAAGTCTGGCGAGGCATGGGTGTCATTGGAGAGTACATTCCACAGAGTAGGGGCTACAACTGAGCAGGCTCTTCCCTGGTGACAGCTAACCCAGCCGTCCTGGGGCCAGGGCCCTGCAAGAGGCCCCCTAGACGATGACTGAAGGGAGCGCAGGGGGAGGTCATCCCATAGGTATGGGGGTCCCAGACAGTTAAGGGCTTTAAAGGTTAACATCTTTGGTCCGGAGATGAATCAGTAGGCAGTGCAGCAGCTGCAAAACTGGAATAATCTGAGGTGACCGTGATGTTCCAGTCAGCTGCATTCTGGACCACCTGCGGTCTCCAAAGTGTTTTTAAGGGTAGCCCTACGTAGAGCAAATTGCAGTAGTCTAATCTGGAGGTCACCATGGAATGGGTTAATCTGGCAAGGTCTGACCCAGACAAATAAGAAGCCAGCTGGCGGGCCTGGCATAGGTGAAAAAATGCTGACCGTGCTACCGTGGACACTTGCCTATCCAACCATACTCCAACAGAGTGTCAGCTGGACACCTTTGGGTCCCGGGAGTGACCCTCCAGGTAGCGTCTCAGTCCTTCCCAGCCACATGACCTCAGTCCTTCCACAGCCACTTGGCTGGATTCAACGGCCAGCTCCCCCTTAACCGTGGGACTACCTCATCCCGGCACTGGGATCGTGCCAAGAGCCCTGCTGCGGGCTGCTTATCCCGCAGGAGGAAAAGCTGAGTGTCATCCGCATTTTGATGGCCCCCAACTCCAAACCTCCTGACAATCCTGGTAAGAGGCTGCATGGAGCAAGTGTGACTCACCAGCGCCATTCCTTGTAATGCTCTTGTCATAAGCATCTTGGGAGAAGTTGGCCACTGTTTCCTATCTGCAGGCGGTTGTTTGTTTGTTTACAGCTTTAAGCCCCCTCTTCCCTCCCTGCCATGGGGACACAAAACAGCTTACATCTTTGTCCCCTCCTGTCATGGACAGCCCTGGGTTAGCATGGGGAGATCAGAGGAGGAGGAGGAGGAGAACCTGCCCCCCCAGCCCCACCCTGGCAGGTGCTCCCTGTGAGGCGGACGCCTCAGTGCCAAGGGAACCTTTGCTGGCACTGCCCCTGCCCCCTGAGCTAGCAGGGACCTCAAGCCAGTAGCCCTCCCCCCAGCATGGACCTGCCTGGTGCCAGCCCGGCCCCAATCTCCCCTCAGTGCAGAGGCAGTGAGGAGCCAGGGCCAAGGGGGACCACTCCAGATCCTGGACCAGGTGCAGGAATGTGCCCCCGGGAGACCAGAGCCTCCCCTCTGCTAAGGAAGCGCCGGAAGAAAACAATGCGTCCCGGCGGGATCCAGGCCCTGCTCCTTCTCAGGAGTGGAGGAGCTGACTCCACTTGCCGGAGGAGCCTCATGGGGGACCCAGCGTCACCCACCTGGAGGGAGACTCCCCCAGTGGGCCTGCAGTCCGGCTGGAGCCAGCGTGGGGTCAGCTTGTCTGCAGTCCTCCAGGTTAGCCCACCAGCTGCTGGGGCTGAGGGCTGATTAGCTAGAGGTGTGGAGCCGGGACTTCCTCTCTGTTGCTTTAGCCATGCCATGCAGGGACCTGTGTCTGCACTCCAGTCCTTAGGAAGACATGCCAAGGTTCCAGGACTCCCTTCCTGTTAAATAGTGGGTTCCATGGATGAACAGACCACAAGCCTAGTGATCAGATCTACTTTATTAGTGATTTCAGCCAGCACAAGACAAGACTTCAGAGCCTCAGCTCTGTTAAACAGCATATGCAACTGCCACACCCAAACACGCCCCACTCCCCGTGATAGGCTATTTACATAACATTACTACTAGATTGGTTACTTTCAGAATTCTGGCAGGCTATTGTTCTTCTGCTCCAAGCTCAGCCAGTCTCTGGGGTGATTCAATTAGGAATGATTCAATCCCAGGACATAACACTCCCGTTCCAAGTACGGGGTTCCAAAGAATGGGTGATCTCCAGCATGAAGACAACTCCAATCAGAGATCTTCTTTTCCCTCAGTGAGAAAGTTCTGTTCAGCACAGGTTCCTTTCATTGACTGCTGCATTAACTTTCAGAGACTCAGGGTTCTTTCAAAGCAGGACTGAGCTTCTCTGTCTTCTCTCTCGAAGCTTCCAGGATTGCTTCTTGCATTAATACTGCTGTTGTGCCCTACTGGCCT